AGCATGAGTAATCCAAGATCATCAGAAACACTTTATCTCAATCATATTACAAAATAATCTAAATGTTTCCCAAAGAGATATTTAAAACAAGTTTGAGGAGCATTAATACTTACAGTTGTATCTGTCCAAATAGCTAAAGTTTGCAAAAAAAATAGAAAATAAAGTACAAATGAGTGATGGTGTTTTAATGACTTTAAATCATAACTAAAGTGTTCATACCATCAAACTTAGGAGAAAAAAAATCACTACTGCTATATTGAAGTTAAGAATAAATTAGAGGCATGTAAAAGTCTGGAATAACAATATGCTATAAAAATTACTGATATAAAAATATGCCATTTAACAAATTTGATACTACAGAGACATAAAATTCTACATAGAGTCTGGAAGCAACCATGTGAACATAAGGAGATAGCTGGGGTGATGCCAACATGGTTAATTCAGAAAGAAGCTCAAATTTATAACTGGTTAGATTTAATTTCTGTTTTGAAGATAAACTACAATGCCAGAAATCTATATGCTTCAGAAATTTTTCTACTGGTATTTAAAGGCAAAAACTGGACAATATAAAAATATATTTTCAGTAAACATCTTCCCTCTACTCTCTCCCAAATCTCATGAACATCTCAGTTCACACAGATGGATGCACACACTCACACACACATTTATATACACACCTCCGAATCTAGAATTTCAGTAATGAATAATTCTTGGTTACCAATTACGTATAATGCAATATATAGATAAAAAACACTGCAATTGTTTAAAAACCAATTGTATAATTTTGGCGTTCAGAGATTTTTTTAAAGAAATTGATTTAGAAAAAGTTGGAAAAGAAGCCCAAGTTGATTGACAGTTTGGAGTTTGTGTTTCCTCCATCTGATCATAGCCAAAATGCAAATATGATTAAGTTCTGAGAGACAGGAATCTGCAAAGTGTCTGCCGCTTACTAGCATCTTTCCTCTAGGTACCATCCAGCCAGGGCATCAAGGCGTCAAGGGTGACTTGGTAGCTTGTTGCCTCACAAACCCCTTGGATTAGGAAAGGGAAAATGATCGTTATTCCAGGCTCCAAATCTGATGCGGTAGTGGAGTTGTTATTGCAAGGTAGGGTGTCGAGTTTATGTCTGAGATCAATGGGGAAAAGAACTGAAATAGACTGTTTGCCATGGGCACACAAGGAAAAAATGGTGGCAGAGGTGCCACGTGGTTACTATCTTTGCCTTAAACAAATTCTACAATTACCTACATCATTAGGAGATAAGACATGCACACATGTACACACCCTACAAGTGCGTATCCTTATTCTATTAATAAAAATTGCATAAATATAATCATTCAACAAAGTCATTCAACAGTTCATTTAGAAAACCCATTTACAAACTGAATCATAATTATATGTACTACACATTGCTCTAGGTGCCTGAAATATAGAATAAGAACTGATTCAGCCCTAGCCTGTTTGGCTCAGTAGATAGAGCATCAGCCTGCAGACCAAAGGGTCTCAGGTTCGATTCCGGTCAAGGGCATGTACCTTGGTTGCAGGCTCTTCCCTAGCCTGGGCCCTGGTCAGGGCTATTGCAGGAGGCAACCAATCAATGTGTTTCTCTCACATCGATGTTTCTCTCTGTCTTTCCCTCTCTCTTCCATTCTCCCTAAAAACCAATGGAAAAAGATCCTCAGGTGAGGATTAACAACAAGAAAAGAAGAACTGGTTCATGCTCCCAACAAACTCACAAGCTAGACTACAAGATGTAAAAATCATCATCAGACCCGATGCCAGTGGAGGAATGGACCAAGTATTAAGGAGACAGATGGGCATTTTTCAGGTGAGTTGGCCAAGGCCTTCCATTCATCAGTTAATAAACAAACAGGGTGTTTGAGTTGTGCCAGGATCTGTGCAAGTTACTGGGGATAGAAATAAATGCCAGGTCATACCCTCCAGGAGCTGTGGTCTGGAGGTTTAGAGGCAGATGAGTTAGATCCCATAAAGAAACAGACTTGAGTGGTAATAGGAGTTGGAATGGTAACAGGGATTGCAATTCAAATTACAAAAAGTTATTTTACAGAGTGAAGAATACCTTCGTAAATCACCCTCTTGGGAGTTCCGTTTCCACCGAGGATATAAAAAGCTGGTAACAGCTCAGTCCAACCTTAACAACAATAAAAAGCTGGATAGACTCAAATTATAACTTCTTCTGAACCATCAGAGAGTTACAGTCCGCTGACAACCAAGTAGCCTAAATTTTAAGGAAAGGCGGGACTTTCCACGGAGCCAGGAAAATGGAGGAAGCAACCCTGGGTGCCATACTGGTGGCTAATAAGAATTCAGCTAAATTTTTAACTAATTGCAAAAGGTCTAGCTTTTGCCTTTCTCCATTCATGTCAGCTATACTGTAACTATTTAAAAAAATAAACTTGAATAGAAAGGCAACAGCTTATTTGGGCTCAGGAATCATTGTTTTTTTCAACCCTGGCAAGCCTTGCATTTCTAGATTCTCTCTATTCCCTCTGTTTCTGCTCTCAAACCAGCTAATTCTTGCCTGAGCTCATCTCATTCCTGAAAGATGTTGCTATAAGCAGCAAGTAAAAGCCAATACACATTAACACTCTGGCTCTTTATAACAACCTCCCCTGGAGTACTCACATGAGAATCAAATAAGTCATCTTGTATTCACTGAACACACACAAAAAAAGTCTTCAAGTGGTGAAAATGCTTACTGTGGGACTTCTACACTAATTCATAAACCTCTGTATACCTAAGAATCTTAATCCATTTCTATTTTAAAACCATTACAACACTTAGAAACAGGACTAGAAACAGAATAGAGTCCAGAAAGAAACCTATACACATACAGTCAAATGACTTTT